AACAAAATTCAAAATTGAAACTTCTTTCCCATTGGTCCCGTTGTTCAAGACGCTTCAGTGCTGCCAACACTTAATTAATTTCATAGACAACAATTCGAAGGGACAGAGAGAGAGAGCCAACATTATAAACAAAACAACATTTCCTCTCTATAACATTTTTAACGTAAAAAAGTAAAAAATAATAAATTATACTTACAAAAGTTAATAAAAAATATTATGCTATACATAGTTTGTGATAAACACCGTATTATATTAGACATTATATTTACTTTTTCTTTCAAAGACAAATTTTAATTTTATTAATAAAATACATTGGGAAAAAAAATGTATTTTAACATTGTCAACAATATTTTAAATGTAATCGAATCGTTGTGTTTAAAATTCCACCTCAGCTTTATTTCCAAAGATTGATAAAAATCACTGAAAACCTTTGAACTAAGCGAAAAAAAAAAATCAATATTATTTCAAGGGAATAAGAGTACATGGTACTGTTTCTTTCTATATAATTGTGTCACGATCTTTCTGTTTCGCTTCAACAAGTTCAACCAGAGTTCAACGCACAAATTGTATAGTTGCTAGAGTAAAATAAAATATTTGTAAATGGCAATGCTTTTATCCATCCATAGACTATAGAACATTGGCGTAGTATGCATCGATGTTACGTTGCCCTTGACTCCCTCCATAAAATTGCTGTTTTTAAAAAGTTTTTCAAGTAAAATCAAGAAAAAGTGCTATTATTTGAATTACGAGTGTGTTTTATGTGTTTGTATCAGTGGTTTATGTGTATATTACTGAGACATTGTCCTAAAACTCAGTGGCGTCACCTGACCGAGCTCATTGTCATTTCCCGCCATTGTGGCTCATGTAGAGACTAATTTCTACATATTTGCAAGTAATCAGTGCAGTTTAGATGCGGAATACCCTATATTAGTAAAACTAAGTAATGTCATTACACGGCAATGATGTTTGTTTGCTAGAAGTTGAAGATTATAACTTGTACGAGGAAGAAGCATCGGATCACGCTTTTGCCAGGTATGTATAACCGGCGTGGTCGCTGAGTTTGTATACATTTTCTTGTCAAATTGCCATTTTAGCAATCATTACCGTTAATGTTTTCTATGAAAATGAGAAATATTACTTTTATGACAAGTGTGGGTGATTTCGCGGGCCATATGACGCCACTCCCGCCCCTTGCCGGTCCATAGTCAGCTGTTGAGCCGCCATGTTTGGACAAATCAAATAGGCGTAGTATGCGCACCTACCAATCCGCTGAGATGATTCGTACTATCAAACACATGTACGATTTAGCGTAAATGAAATCATTCACAGACATTTAGAACATGATTTTGACATTGTAACTATATTTTTACATACAATTCTATATTTTGCTTTCCATTTATACATATTGACTATGTATTATCACACGGGAGTCCTTGTGTGCAATCATTGTGTAAAGACTTTTGTTCGATATAGACTTTCATTATGAAGAGGTCCCAATATAATATTCAAAGTAAGCAATAATTGTAACAAATATATAATAAAACCGATAGATTTATAAAACAGACCCTAATGACAGTAGTAAACTGTCTATTTACTACAACAAGCTTCAACATTTAAGCAGCTATAAGAGTTTCATCTAAATTTTTCTTTAGGGAAAGTGCCTTACAAATTAGTAGCAGTGTTTAATATGGATTTTGACAATTTTAAGGGCAATCGGCTCAACTTTAGTATACGTGATGTCAAGTTGGGCGTTCAAATTAATTTTGGAGATAGACCTAGTCAAAAGGAACCACTCCAAAAATATTCAGGATTAGGACGCCAAAGGTTTTCGAGAAAATAATTTTTGAAAGTCGTGAAATTTAAAGGGAAAAAATGCATTTGACAACTACCTAATGCAAAAATTATTTCAAAAAAGCATGCAATTTAATTGACATTCCATTATAATTATATCATGTGTTGTTTAAATTTTGAAAGTATATTATGTTTTATTGGTTTTCTAAACATTATTACTTATTTAATAGCATTTACATTTTATTTAAAATGTTATTTCTTAAAAAGGTTACTTTGAAATAGTAATGATCATTCAGTAACAATTTCGTAATTTCAACAATAAATCTCAACGTCATTTATTGCATTTGTTTTTTCCTTATTTCTCTTGGCTTTTAACAGTACATTTACAAAGAGTTTTTACTGCGTATTTATGTTGTTGTTTGTTTTGTATAAAGATTGTTAGGTTTTTATTATACAAACGCGGAAGTCCCTCTGTGCAGAAACGAATTAGATTATTTAGGTTAACTTAGGTTTTTTTTATACAAATGCAGAAGTCCCTCTGGGCAGAAACAAGTTGGATTATTTAGGTTAAGTTAGCTTTTCAGGCTAAGTTAGGTGTTTAATTCAAACCCAAAAAATAATCTAAACAATCACAGACTCATGAAATCTCCAATATCATGAGAATCATTTAATATGGTTAGTTAATCATCCATTGTCATTTGCAAAGTAAATTTTGTCTTAGGTAAAACTTTTCAGCAGCAGCAAGTTAATTTAATTCTGTAACTTTGGTGTACGAATCCAAATCGCACATGACCATTACTTTTAAACAAATAAACTACTTATAAATAATGCAGACTTGGAATGTTCGTTTAGGAGTTAGTTATATATATATTTTTTTAAATGTGATGGCCAATTGCAGGAGTGAGAAACATACAACATCTGGAAGTAAAACGATGGAGGCAGAAAAAAGAATTCGGCGAGAAATCGCCAACAGTAACGAACGCCGGCGCATGCAGAGCATCAACGCTGGTTTCCAGGCCCTGCGTACTTTGCTGCCGCGACACGAAGGAGAAAAACTCAGCAAGGTAAAGTTTATTTGTAGCAGTCAACAATACGCATTTTGGCTTAATCTCTCAATAATACGCATTTTAGCTTAATCTCTACTGCAAAATACAAATAAACGAATTGTGTGCTTAAATAATAGCAAAAAATTGTAATACTTTCTTATACTTGTTTTTTTTTATATTTTCAGGCTGCTATACTACAACAAACTGCTGAGTATATCTACTCCCTTGAACAAGAAAAGACGAGACTACTATCTCAGAACTGTCAGTTGAAACGTTTACTCAATCAACATGAAGGAGGTGAAGTACCATTGAAGAAAAGAAAAAATGAGATTCTTTCACATGTATCTTCTGTTATTCCCGCCGATTCTACAGAAGATTCTACTATTACAAACTCCCGATCTCCAGAGCCAGTTGCAGTCATTACTGTAACAAGTGTATCTCAAAAGAAAGAAGTCGAAGGCACTGAACTACGCGTACAATTGGATCGCGAGCGGCGACTGCGACGATTGCTGGAAGATCGCTTACACACTCTCGAAGCTCAGATGTACCCTGAAAATGGTCACGCTCCACTTTTTGAGCAGACCAAGCTTTCTGATTGCAAGGTGGAGAGTGAAGTGATAGAAGAGGTCCCGGTAGAAGCGCCTGTTGTGCCGACAACCCGTGCGGCGGGAACGGCGTTGACTGCGCCGCATGTGCCACTAGTCACGCCGCCCACCGCTTCTGCTCCCGCTGCACCGCTGCTGGAGGCAGCAATCAAGGCGGAGCCTCGCGTTGAAGTAGAGGTGTTGCCTGATGCGGCACACGAAGCACCCTCACGGCTCTATTTAGCCAGTACCAGCCGCCAAAATTTGGAAACTATTGTAGAAGCCATTCGTCACTTGGAAGGCGACCACCTGTTCCGCGAGGAGTCTGGAGATGCACCTCTGGCGCTCACTAAGAAGGTAGAGCGGGCGCCGCCCCCGCGACCGGGAGTGATCGTCGTAAAGCACTCGTGATCGCATTGAGCGGCTGCCGTACTTTTACGGTCCCACCACGTTATTATTCGCTTCCTCTCTGCGAGCGCTTCTCACCCTCCTCGAATATAGATTTAAATCTTTAGTTATTTAGTTATCTTTTCCAAAGTGACGAATCGATAAGTCTGCGTCTTTATTTTGTTAACTCAGTGAAGTCTAATTGATTGAGGAACGGTAGTTGGACAGCAGTTGGGTGTATTGTCGCGTGTTGTCGATCGGCGCTGTGCTTAGTTTAGTCTCAAATCTAATTAATTTGACGTTTGCGTTACTCCAGTTTGGATTGTATGATGAATTGGGGTTGACTGATTTGGATAAGATAGGTGGAGCAACATTAAGGATAGTGTGCCGCGTGCCAATTACAACTTCACGACATCTTTAGTAAAGGTAAGTACTAGGCAAGTGTGTGAAAGGTCTTGTATAATTATAGGCTTTGTGATAATTTTGTACTACTACTTATAAAGTTGGGAATTAAGGTTGGCAAATACCATCAAGGAAGCAATAAGTCAAAATGAGATTGGTACTAAAGGGTTGTTTGTAAGTAATATTTCAGCAATATATGTATCAAGTGTTTTTAAAATCATCAAGCAAATACTTGTACTAAATAGTAGTAAAATACATAAATATTTGACATTTGTATTAGGTAATTAATTAATTTATGTATTGTAGGCATGCGGCTACAAGACGTCTGACTTACTTATTACTCATTATTTTCAAATAAAATTGATTAATTTTTAAATGCTCCCTTTCACTTGATATTTAGTGACAAGAATATAAATTAAGTGTGAACTTATTTGACATTTTTAAATTATTGGTATAAGTTAAGTATTGTAATAATCCAGTGTCATAATTATTATTTATTTTCCAATGCTTTGCTTCAGAATGGAAATTAGTAAATTGTTTTGGAGACGTAAATGTTGTCTTCGTAGTGACGGAAATTTTAGAGCATTCCATGTTGTTGAATTCTCCCTAAACATAAGGGTTAATCTGCATATGAGATATACATACCTAGTTAATTGGAGCATGAGTTACATGTATTCATATTTAAACCAAGTACATAGCGTAATTAATTATTATTATGTATTGCTTACTATATGCGTCCTTCAGTCTACATGTAGATTATTAATTTGTTAGGATGCCCGTAAATAAGTATGCATCATGTATTGTATTGAAATCTGGAAAATTTCATAAAATTATTCATATTAAAGATATCGCGTTTAGACAAATCTACAGATTGACTTTTGATGATTTAATCATCCTTGGAATTATGTAAAAAATAAAGTGGACTTGCTTCACGTTTTTACTTTTAAGACTTAGATGCAAGGACTCGCGTGGGTCCAACACTAGGTAAAATAATCCTTGACAGTGATTTCATTATTGTTCGCTTTAATGTGCTGACATTTTTGTTAAAAGTTTTTAACTTTGCAGTGCTTTTTGTTAATACTTTCTTTGTAAGTTTTGAATGTATTTTGTTTAGGTAAGACTCAGCAGCAGAGTGTAATAGTACATCATGCTGTGCTCCTATGTCTCAGATGATTTGAATTTTTTAAGACTGATCATTTATTCATTATTAAGTTAACGCTAGTTCGAGCCATCATATTGTTAGTATATAGTAAGTGTGAGTGTGTGTTATGTTTTAATGTAGCTATTTATGTGTATGGATGTGGAAATAATGCACTTAACGTGACATTTACCCTATGGCGTCAGTGATTCTCCTGACAAAAGAGCAATAATCTTGTCAATCATTATTTAAGATTTATTATGAATATCTGATCCGCTAAGAACGACGATCTTCGCTGTCGCTTAGAAATAAGTTTCTTGAAATCACTTACTCAATGGGGTATCTGTAGAGCTACGTTGTGATTTGTGTATATATGAAACAGATGTGAGTTATTTACGTTGCATTTGCATCTGGTTTATACAGGGGATACAGTATATATTACACAACTCTAGGGCTTTGTTTCTGATTACTCACAAGATATAATTTTAGCCTTCGATTTTTTTTACTTTACCTGTCGTATAGTTAATAACCTGGTATTTAAATATATAGTTGTTATTTGTAAAAACAGTCATCGACTTTAGTTACTTCTTTTGTGCGTGGGCATTGTTTTTATTTTTGTTTACTGATTTTAATTTAGGGTTAACTGTACAAATTTATCGTAGAAAGGAGGTTATCGTCTCACTTTTAGCAAGCATTTAATTTTGTTTTATTGGAATAGAAGCCCTAGGGACTTATAGCAGCTCCTCTTGCACTCTGTTTCTGAGTCCATAGCTTTAAGAATTTGTCTGCCTACCGCCTTTTACATTATGTCAGTTTAGGATAATTAACTATGTAACATAACGGACTTGGTTATACTATTAGTGTAGTCAAAATAGTAATAAGAGATTTTAAGTCAAAGAAAGCAAGTTAAATTGTTTAAAATGTGTTATTATTTATGTCTTAAAGTATTAAAATGGTTATTTCTTATTAATTAGTTTGTAAAAGATAATCATCTGTGTATGTAATCGAGCTCTTTTCTTTCGTCATACATTGTAGAAGTAAAACCAATAAAACATTTGAGTAAATTAAGTCATGCGAGTTATGCACACCTTATCGTGTAAGCGTACGTGAAGACTGATTGTAATAGCGAGAAGTTGAGAATGCGTCGACTACTGATCGTGCACAAAGCATGATTCATGCTACACCCGTTGATATGTCTAGTCCAAGTAGGGATGCGGCTGGCCGCATCAAAATGGTAGACGAGCAAAAGTACAGGTTCATTTTTCTTCATTTATTCATTTGACGCATTCGTTACATGCAAAGCCATTATGTAATATATCCCTTGTCGTTTTGGTGCAACAAGCCACTAAGTTTGTAAGTTGGCGTTGTCCATATAGAGTATAAATAAAATGGGCAAAATGTTCGTGCCATGTTTTATTGGTTTTATGCACCATTCAGTGTGAATATTTCAATTTTCTACACTCTATCGCGTGCTATGTGTGTTGATTCGGACTATTAATATAAGAGAATTGTAAACCCTGCTTTTAAATTCATTAAGTCTCTTTGAATTATAATAATTAATTTACACTGCATTTAAAGTAAGTTTTCAGTTCAAGTAAATGTATTTTGTTTAGATTTAGATTCAGTTTGCGAGTTTACGAACGACTAAGGATAGGGTGAACTTTTAATATTACTGGTTAGATTTAGATGCCACCAAATTTGAAATTTTATAACGAAAAACAAATTGTTTCCTTTTATTGTAGAGCAGCGTAAGAGCAAATCTAAATGTTCACTCTGTCCTTAATCAACTCACGTTCCTATACATAGTTATTGTATAATATTTTTACAATTCAATAAGATTATGATAAAGTGTAGAAAATAATGCATGGATGTTTCCTTTTTGATATGAAATTGATGAAAATATTTCCTCTGATTTTAATTGTACATATGAATGGCGCCACGCTGAAGTATACAAACTGTCACTATTCGCGATTTCAATTTGAACGTTATGTTAATTTAAACGATGTTCAATTTTTATAAAAGAATTTTTACTTTTTGTATACATTAGTATGTGGCCCTCCGTACCACATTTGACCTATATTTACGAATATTTATAAAAGATTGATAATTCGGTGTTTTATTTATTAACCCGGCGGGAGTGTGGGAGTGTGGCCGGGTGTGACATACCCACCTCTTACGTTTTATGAGTGTATTTTTCTTATTAGTTATTCAAACGTTTTGCCGTTTTGAGTAGCGGAAGTTAAAGGGACACGGGAAGGGATATGGTCCATAACCTTACTTTATGGGTTGCTGAATATAGCTCCTCTTAACGCAAACATTTTTTCGTGAAAATCAAGGCAGGAACACTTCTTTATCGAATCGACTTTATCTGTAAATTAGGCTTGTTGGTCATGAACACCTAAGATTGCGAAAAGATAATAAAATATTCTTACATCTATTTGGCAGAAAATCGCATCCCAAATCAATGAACCTCCAGGTCTATCATTGCAAAATGCTCTTGGTCACTACATTAGATGTGGAGATTAGAGAGTGACAATAAGGTTCGTAAAACAAAATTCGCATGTTTCACCTGTGGAAAAGCCATGTGTATGGCATTGCATGGAACAAGCGATTTTTTCGCAAGAACTGTTCTGATTTCAATTCAAACTCCTAAGATGTTCCTAAAAATATCAAAAAGATTTCATGTTTTATAAGGTTTTGTAGATTTTTTCATAAAAACTTTTATTTAGGAAATGGAAACTATTTTTCCGGATTAAATCGCGTATATTTGTTTTTCAAACAAACCGAAGTTTCGGGCCCTTTACAGGTCCCATGGTCACGGTTGACTAAACTTTTGTTTTTTTGATTTTTCAGAAATATCAAAATTTTTATTTGAAAACTAAGTAATTTTCTGTAATTAAAATATATAGAAAGTGTTACATTTAACAGTTTTTTTATTTATAATAAATCATCGTATTGTAATTCACAATAAAACACATTTAATCCAATGCTGTCTGCATGGAATTAATAAGTACTTCGTACAACTGGAAGGCTTACTGTGTATTGAAGCGTGCGTCGAGCGAGATGTCATAAATCTTGGTCCGTCTCTTTCTGACTAGTGGTAGACCTGTGGTAATAACAAACAGAGATGACGCCATATTATTTTAGTGTTGCCTAATGTAAAACAAATAAAACTTTCCAATAATATTTAAATATCGTGAAATAATATAAAGACTTTGATTTATTTGCGACCTATTGCATTCATAGTTGGTATGGTATTATTTACAAACATCTTATAATATTCATGGACAAAATGACGTATTGTTTTTATGCCAATTTTTTTTTATAGTCAACTACCGTATTGTATCAAATATCTCACATGGCAATTGTGCGAAAGGGACACACCAAGAAAGAAGATGTCTCACTTGAGCTCAGATCTCTAAGGAGATATTGGTTATTTAAAAAGTATTTTATTGCTATTCATTTAACGTTCATTTTGATATGTCAAAATAATTGCAGTGAGCTTTCCAGTTGTACGAAGTACTTATTAATTCCATGGCTGTCTGTTAGATACATAAAATTTAGAGTCTATACAAGTACGCGGGTATGTCATACGCTACCACAGTCTTCGTAACATTTTGTTACTACGCTCCCGCCGGGTTAAATCTCTATAATAAAATTCGGGCTATATACACACACAAACGAGAAAATCACATCAAAAATAAGTTAAGTAAATCTCCTGAGGCCAAAACTAAGTCAGTTACTTAAAATATGATTGAGTACCAAGTGGAAAATATACTTAATAAATCATCTTAGTGTTAAACTAAAGTGCGCGTGGCTTATTCCCGCGGTTCTAGCCGCAAAAAACTAGATCCGTTCAAAAGTTTTAGGGGGTTTTATTGTCCACCCTGGAATAAGCTTATTCCAGCGGTACAATTTCTCAATCTGGAGAACCATAACACCTAGCTAAGATCTGATTACACAAAAAAAGTCCTGATTTAATCAATTCTAATCGTAAATAACTAGACTTAGTACTTACGCCGTTTTGAAGTTATTAAGGTGTTTTACTATCCACGCTGGAATAAGCTTATTCCGGCGACACCATTTTTGAATCTCGAGAACCACAGCCCCTAGCTTAGATGTGATTGCACCTAGCAAAACTTGTGAATTTAGTCGGTTCTAGTCGCTCTTTTGTTTAGAAGATACAGCCGACTTATTATTTCAAGGTTATACCTGTGCTAGTTGCGGAGGTCATGTATGTACAAATTTTGCATAAGACACAGAATTCGTTATTTTTTGTAAATACATGGTATTTGAAAGTTTTAATAATGTTTACTTTTTAATACAAGAAACTAGCAAAAAATTGGTATACAGTTATTTTTCCTATTATTTTATTATTATTAGGATTAATCGATTGTTTTTTTTATTAATAATTTTGGCTTGGATACAAGTTCTTTGAGCCATGTTTTCGTTTAATTATGTTTCTGTAAATATGGCCGCCACAAAGAGGATAGGCAATTTGAGAAGGCGTGTTGGATTGACTAGGGATTCCTTAGAAAACGAGCCGATACGGGTATTTTAGTTCGAGATTCGTATAATTTCGCGTTTTAATCTTCGATTAAGGCACAATAGCACTATCCTAGAAACGCGAAGTTTAAAGACGAAACGCTTTCAAAAGAATTCTTATGCTATGTGTGGAAAAATTTTTAATCGGATACCGGATCGTTTTAAACACCTTCCATTGGTCAGTTTTAAAAAAGAACTGCGTAAGTGGCTTTTAGATCACTTGTTCTACTCAGTGGAAGAGTTCATGATTTATAAAGAAGTTGATTGATGCATACATTATTCATTTATCTAATTTATATTCAATTATGACATCTAATATTATGACATACCCTGTATCAATTGATTTAATTTAGTAATGTATTGCCTTATTGTTTACTATTAATATTCTGCATGCTTTTGTTTTAGGCTAAATAGGATTAAGTTCAAATTAAATTTTACCATCAACATTTATAATGTACCCTACCCTATTTAAAGCGAATAAATGAATTTATTATTATTATTATTATTATCCTATTCCACTTTAAACTAGATTTCACAAAATAATTTAAAGTCAAAATAAAAACGACACTTCCCTCCAAAAGGCCCAGAGCGAATCCATTTATCGATTGTCATGCATGATATTTATTAGTGATGTATGTTGTGTTGGGCTCCTGACTTACACGAAACGCGTGGAGTATCTACAGTCGCGTTTAAATAATGAATGAATGACTTAATTGAATAAACGATGACTATTATAATTTTTAGTGCTAGTCATTTTCAACTACAACTTGGTTTTACAGTTATATTTAAATCTGAAAAAACAGTGTAAATAATTGGTTAGACTACGCTAAGAATTCAGTAGATATTTAACATAGGTACTTGTTTATTACACTCTATTAATTACCACGAACACGATGTATTGAGCGGTGGCCCTCGTTAGACACAATTTTTTTATTAATACGATTTTTCTACGTAAATGTACCTATCAATGAAAATAATTTAGTATCCAATATCTTCTAAACAAAGAAGCGATTAATTATAAAATTTTGCGCCTAGAACCGATTAATTCACGACTTTTTATGGGTGCAATCAGATCTAAGCTGGGAGCTTTGGCTCTCGAGACTAAAAAATTGTGCCGCCGGAATAAACTTATTCCAGCGTGAACAGTAAAACATGCTTACAACTTCAAAACGGCTTAACGACTAAATATAGTTTTTTACATCTAGAACCGACTAAATGACGACGTTTTTTATAAGTTTTAAACAGTGGACCGACTAAATGCAACTTTTTATTTTTATTATATATTTTATTTGGTTAGTCAAATTTCAAAACTCGCCCATGACACGCTGGAATAAGCCTCGCCAACTTACATTGTCACGGAACGGAATGGAACTCGATACACGCCTTGCCAATTTCTGCCGCTACGTGTGAGCATTACTGCGTTCCGATTTTGAAAGGTAAGGGTGCTAGTGAAATTACAGGCACATGATCTGTTCACGAACCTACAATTTTACTAGTCACCTACTAATATTACAAGTACTAGTAAATTCCGTTTCACAAATAAAAATACTATACTTGTAGCTTGTAGTCATAGACTAATAAATGATACTAGTTTAAATTGATTGTGTAACTAGTACATCTTAATTCCATAGCTCATACGACAGATGTCAAAAAATTGGCGAGAACAATTTCCTGTTCAATTAAGTAAATAATTATATAAGAATGTAAAAACTAGGCGTACCTACGTAAAAATATGTTATGTAGAAATACATGTTAAAATAAATAAGTATATTATTATACTATAATAATAATAAGTAAGTAACATATATTCGCTATATTGAAAAACACATACATATTACCATACAGACTCAGGTTATAATAAGAAATATTTTTGAAGTCGTCTCTGTATTCATTATTAATTATTATGTTTGACCAATTCCGAGCAGTCATATGCGTAGCGATATTTTCTGATCGCAAGTATTGTAAGGGCGGGAAAAAGAACGGAACTTAATAGTTTTCAATATAATAAAATTTAGAGGATCGAAATTTTGTCGAGAACGTTGTATGTATTAATAATTAATTACAGTTAATATACACAATAACTACGCCGTTAAAGTAAATTTTATTATTTCTGACCAAGAACCAGTATGGTTTACTTACATTTATAAATAATTGGTACAAATTGAAATTGGTTACCTATATGTATTTTTTTACAAACAGAACATAGTTTACAATTGCAATTATGGTCTAGTAACTATTAGCCTGGACCCTATTTCACGAAACTAACCAGTCTAGTCCACGGACTATTATTTTATACTATTCTACTAGTGTGCGATTCATGAACCTACGATGGTAAATTATTAGTTACTAGTTGCAGGCTAATAGTTAGGTATTAGTCCATAATTATCATTGTAAACTATGTTCTGTTTCATGAAAAACACTACTAGTCCAATATACTCATATATTGCAAAGGTATTTATTTCTACCAGTCGAAGGCGTATTGTAAACATGTACGAAAATTTTGTCAGTGGCGTCACTAAGAAAAAGATGACGTCATGTTCGGAAAGTGAGGAAGAAACTGTAATAGTGTGACGTCGTCGAGTATTTTTACCTCGAAATTCATATGAAAAGTTGTAAACTACTTATCAATTTAACGAAAGATTTCGTTTGACAAGCGAGAAACTGGAAGCTCTCTTGACTGCGATCGGACCTGAAATACAGCGAATAACCGAATAAAAGCCAATCATTATCAGCCAAAATAATTATATAGGTACAAGTTGCATTGCATTGGATGGGTACTGGAGTACAGTACCATGTAGTAGCCGATATGGGGTTTCTAAAACTGGCGTATGTCGTGCTATTCACGATATAGTGAATGCCAGACAATCACATCAAATTCCATTTCTCATATTAGGGAATTTCCTGTACTAAGAATACAAGTATAACGATAACTCTCAGGGCAATACCCAGAATACCCAGAACAGAACCAATTTAGAAATGTTCGTTTCTTAAATTCGGAAATTGAACCCGGAACCTCCTCATCAAGCGCCCATATTACTAACCGCCGTGCCGCCGAAGAGCATAAGCACACCTCGTAATTTGAACTAGGCCACGCGCCGCAAGCCGAGCCCGACCACACCGTGGGTGAAGTACAGGGCTCGTTATTTATAAGTGTAAGTAAACCATAATGGTTCTTGGTCAGAAATATTAATTTACTTGAACGGAGTACCTAGTTATTGAGTATGTTAACTGTAATTTTTTTAAATATATAATAGATACACACACGCTTGGCCACAATCTCACCTGATGTAATGAAACGATGTGACAGACGAGGGGACGCGTTTGCCTAAAAAATGCCTATTCACACTAGCCATGAATAACCCCAAATTGTACTTTTCGGGAAATACAGATAGAGCATTCCATTCCTTTGCCGTACGTATGAGAAAGGAGGAAGCAAAGCGCTTAGTGCGAGTAGGTGGAATATCAACGATATAAGAATGGAGTGCTCCGGACCTTCTAGTCGACCGAAGGAGGAACTGTGAGGGTGGAACTAAATTGAAAAGTTCCTGCGCACACTCCCCGAATGTAATTAATTATTATAACGTACAATGTTCTCCACAACATTTCGATTCTCAAAATTTCATTATGTCGAAAACTATAAAGTTTCGCTCTTTTTCCCGCCTTGAGATTGGTCAGACTTAATGATGAATACAGAGACGACTTGAAATATTTCTAATTATAACCTAAGTCCCTATGGTAGTCGAAACGACAATATTAAGATTTGTTTTATTTTCGTATATTATTATAATGTTATTATATAGGAAATGAAACTATTTTTCCGGACTTAAATCGCGTATATTTGTTTTTTCAAACAAACCGACGTTTCGGACCCTTTACAGGTCCCACGATCACGGCTGACAGTCAACGGAAAAATAGTTTCATTTCCTATGTGTAACAATCGCGAAAACCTAAGAACTCGAAATGTTATTATATTTTAACATATATTTTTTTATAGAATATATTTTATATACACATAATTTTTTACATACTTATATAATTATTTACTTATTGGTAAATTGTTTTGATCAATTTTTTAACAGCTGACGTATGTGCTATGGAATTAAGTTGTATTGGTACGCAACCAAATTAAAGTAGTATTATTTAGCAGTCAATGGGTCGTATTCCAGAACTGTACTCAATGCTCAAGTCAGGATTTGAGCGGACTTGAGTATGATTTCAAGCAATGGAAATACGACCCTAACGGCAAGGACTTGAGTATGATTTTCAGTGCTCACTGCAATACTCAAGTCCTGACATGAGCATTGAGTAGAGTTCTATAATACGACCCTATGACTACTGGCTACAGGTGAAGTATTTTTATTTGTGAAACGAAATTTACTAGTACCTACTTGTAATATTAATACTGGTAACTAGTAGCTAGTAAAATTGTAGGTACGGAAAACAGGCCCCTGCCACTAGTAACTAATAATTTACCATCGTATGCTCGTGAAAGGCACACTACTAGTGTGCTACCATTTTACATATTATTAGTTCATTGTCTATGGACTAATAATACTAAATTGGTGAGTTTAGTGAAATAGGGCCCAGGTGTTCAACTTATCCGTTCCGTCACGTAGTAACATAAAAAAATTGGCCAATATTATTCTGATAAAAGATGATTGTCGCTGATACGCAGAGAGAGGTTCGTTGATAGTGTTGTGCAATTTGGGATTTGAATTCACTGAGTTTTTAATATATAGTGTATAGGTATTCCAGATAGCGCGTGGCCATAAACATCCATTTTATATTGATATACTTTCTTTATGATACCAACGGGACTTTTTTTTTATGACGGGACGAATAAGTCGTGCGCCTGGTGGTAAGCGACACACCTGTCCATAGCAGTTGTAGTGCCCAGAGCGAAAATCTTCTGAGGGACACTGTCACTGCGCCTGTCACCCCGGAACATAAGTTGACAAATCCGATGTGCCTGTAATTTCACCAGCACCCTTACCCTTCTAAAACCGAAACGCAGTAATGGTCACATTACGGCTTGGCGGCAGAGATAGGTAAGATGGCACTACTTCACTGCACGAACTCTGTCACAAGGGTCTCTACTTCTACTATCGTTAACCCTTTCCATTACAAACTGTACTCCATTTGACAATAAACTGCGTCCGGCTGACATTTGCGCTACAATATAAAAATATAATACATTAGTCGGTCTTGACACAAAAAGCATCGAGTCATCGTTGTTATATCCGCTTCAGTTCGAATAATTTTTGGCAACAATGGTACTACTCTATGTATGGGTAGATAAACTATTTTCTCACTGGGGACTCGAGGAAAACCCGCCGACGACGGGATTTACTTCAACGGTTAACAGAACTATAATATTATGTGATACAACGCTGAGTAAAGTTATTTACTATTCGTTCATATAGGTACCAGTAGTAGAGCGCTCATCGCGAACTTTAGTTGTCAAACGAGCACACCGCGAGAGAAGTCGTATCTCGTCACGGTTCAGTGTCGGCAGTGTGTTTTTCGAGATAAATACTTAAATATTTTTCAACTTGTACGTATTATTTCAATTTAAGTACAATTATGTCCTACATATTCCAATATTTTAAATAAATAACGCTAAACATTATACAATTTCTGATACTTTGGGATTTCAATGCAAATACAATTAAATAACTTGTTATGTATACGAATCTGCATTGGATATTATTAAGTATTTGGTGCCTATACGTACTTTTACTTACGGTTTAATTATTTCAGAAATGGCCAACTTAATATTTATAGTGATATCACTGACTATATTATACATACCGCGTTCGAGGCAAACGCCACAGGAAGATGCTTCAAGGTACAATTTAAAAATACTCTACATAACTTACCAAATGCTGCACGTATATTTTAGTACCTACTGGATTATGAATCTTATCGACTAGAGATCGAAATAGGCAGATTATACGCAAGGATGAAGCATGTAATATATAAATAATATAACGAGGATAATACCTCCGTCTGAAATCCTTAACTGGTAATTATTAGGGTAGTGTATTTAGAAGAAATTTTGTAAATGTAAGCAAAAATATAAATACTTTGTTTTGATTCTTTTCTTTTATTTTTAAATATGCAGAATTTTCAATGGCGGTATTATTCACTAAAACGTGTATCAGTTAAAGTTTAGGTATTATTATTATTTCCATAATGGCGGCCACTAGGCTTGGGCCAGTGTCAGTTGCGAAGTTAGTTAACATTGATCAAAAACGTCAACGTTAAGGCAGCAGCCAAGGTATTTATTTTTGGAAGAACCTTATACTCTGCTCATGACATTAGGTAGGTATATACTATTTGGTAAGTGTAGATTATATTTAACTCGATGTATTTTTGGTCTGCACTCTCCCTTGGTGAATCTTCTCATGTTGTCACGTTAGATATTTTACTGGTAGGTACAAACTTACTTGTTTAAGTAGGTATATTTAAAATACTACTCAGTCAATGCTATTTAATTGTAATCGTTGACCAAATAACACAGGACAACTAAACGTCTAAAATCATGTTATGACATCTTGAATTGGCTTCTTGTATCTAAGTAGTGAAACGTTTATAGTAGGTAGGTACTTACTTATTTAGTAGTTTTAATTTTATAACTAATCGATAGTTCTTATGCAGTCTTGACGATTGATATTTATGCAGCTTATGGGAATATACTCTAATTAGACCCTAACTTAGACTTCCCACACTCACCGTGACCTGTAATGTCACCAACTTGAATTCATAATAATCGCGCTACATATTTTTAGCCTGTCGGCAACGACGCCAGCATCTACGTTGGCTCCCATAACTAATGAACAAAATCAGCTGGCACACGCCGTTAATGACTTGGGATATGAACTGACGCTCAAATTGATGAAGAAAAATGAAAATAAAAACGTTGTAATATCGCCGACAAGCGTTGCTGGTAAGGTTTACCAATGTTCATACAGAGATTTGAAAGACTATTACTTAACTTTAGAGGCTCATTCCATTTGTGAGTAGAAACAATAAGTGAAATTCTATTTATTAAGGATAGGTAGAATGGGTAAAAGGATCTAAAATTAACGTCGTATATAAGAAGCTATTTCGTTGGGATTGTGATAACGTTGACACTGGAATACGAGGATTTCTAGAGTCACCAATTTAAAAAATAAGTATGTAGCTGCTCACACTGTACGTAAAAAGAAGTCTCCTTTTAAATATAAAACATGCAAGCGTGCATATTGGCATGCCTTATTCCCGCGTCAGCATAATCGAGTATAATAAAAATTTTGGATGCAAAAGTTCTTAGGTTTTATTGTTACACATAGGAAATGAAACAATTTTTTTCCGGTCTAAATCGCGTACATTTGTCTTTTCAAATAAACTGGGCCAACGTGTCGGGATTTTACAACTCCCATGGTAACCGTGATCTCATACGTGATCATGGGACCTGTACAGTAACATGGGACATGTTTGAAAAAATAACTAATATGCGATTGAAATCCGAAAAAATAGTAAACAGCGTATCGTTACTGGTCGATACGTTGCTTAACCTTATAGTGGTCATGTTTTGCTGCCCACGCGGGAATAATCTTATTTCGGTGTCACTATTCTTCAATTCCGAGAACTACTCAAATATTTTATACATACAGCTCAGACATATACCATGCCTATACCTAACAAATAATAAGGTGTGAAGATGGTAAATGAAAATTAAATTATACACGGCTGTAGAGTTAGTCACAGATCTATTATCCTGTTTACACTTTAAGATATGTACTTACCCAGTAAACAAATATTTTATATTTATTCAACGTTAAATTAGATACACTTATGTATTACTTACAAATGTCACACTTTTTTATATCTGCGAAGCACCGACAGTAAGGTAAGTAGGTAGGTACTTACTTAAGTTGAACAAAGAACTAAACGGTGTCATCAATCATCTATTGACCTATCCACCTGTATTTAACAGGACTGCTGGCAATGACACTTCTGGGTACAGTAGGCGATGCGTATAACGAACTCGCCGACGTACTAAGGTTTTCCCAAGGTAAGCATTTAGTTTTTGTTGTAGTTACAAACAGTAATAAAACAGAATAACTGTTATAGAGAGAAAAGCGAATTATAACAGACATTATACTTACTCAAAAGTAAAAATAAGACTCAAATTTTTCGAAACGATTTTTATAATTATGTAAAAAAGACGGTTAGTTTTTATGGTCACTAAAAAGATCTCGCGTTTTTTTTTGTGGTTTTGTACCATAATCGTAATTCGTACACTAACATAATAAACATTTTAAGTACAAAGCGCAGGAACTTGTTTTCCGTTTTGTTACGTGATCTGTTACTATAACCTTGACACGACTGTACATTAAAATAATGATGACCATCGCTAGTTCTAGCAGGTAGTGCAGTTTTCTAATTTCCGACCACTTAACATTGTATTAGTAGTATACAAGTACCTACTATACTAATTAACAATGAAATGAAAAGCTAGATAATTACTTTCAAATGCTAAGTAATAAAACACTGCTTAGATATGATTTTGTAATAACAACATTAACATTCGTAATTTATGATATAATGTATAAGTCACATACCTAACACACGTTTATGTGTAACGTTTAAAGTAAATCACCAAGGCTAACAATAAAATGCGCAAAAAATTCACAGATATCCTTATGAATCGCAAAAACCATGAGCAATTTGGGCTATTACTGCAACAGCTGAACACCAATGATTCGAGTCGCACGATCTACAGCAACGCGATTATAGTAGATGGCCAGGTGCAGGTCCGTAAAGTTTACCAAGACTATCTACAACATGTATATCGTGGAGAAACTTTGAATACTAATTTTAAAGATCCTGAAAAGTCTACAGAATTGATTAACGAGTGAGTGTACCATTTGTCTAGTTGCCAACATTACCGTTTTACCTACTTTTGTTACTCTTAATTTGTACCACGTTAACAATGCATTCTGACACAAAGTGTTAACAGTTACTTAGTTAATATTCATAAAGATGAAATAAGTAAATGGAAATTTTCTTTGGAGAAAGTCGTTCGTTACAATACGCAGTACAAGCGTATTTAGGCAGTAAGGGTTTCACAACTTTCGTTGTTATTATGTAGATACTGTGTTGTTCAGTTTTTTTACTAATTTCAGATGGGTGAAAAACAATACAAATGGCAAGTTAGAGCAATTTATAAAGCAGCCGCTTTCTACCTTAACTAAGGCGGTCCTGTTGAGTGCCCTTTACTTTAGCGGTCAATGGGCACAACCGTTTATTCCGGAGCTTACGAGACCGTAAGTGAAAACCGTGAAGATTGTATTTTAAAACATTTGTCATTGCCCATATAAGCTATCCGTAGTCTCCTCTAGAGGTGGGCTGACCCGCTACGTTGAACAATGCGGGTCGAAGACTTCACAAGACACCAAAGAGTTCGTTTATTCCTAGTTGTCACCACTGACGACAAATAGGGAAAAATGCCATAATGTTACCAGATGGTGAAAAACGGGATAAAAAAATTCCAGTTGTTGCCAGTGGTGGTTTCTACTGGCGACAAATGGGAAAAAAATCCCATTAAGTTACCATGTGGAGACAAACGGGATAAAAAAAATCCCAGTTGTTGCCAGTGATGGTTTCTACTGGTGACAAATGGGAAAAAAATCCCAATTAATGTTTGTTTATTGCCGCCATCGAAAGGGAATAAAATAAAATTCGAATTTAATGATAAAATAATAATAAAGTATATCTTACTAAAATAAAAATATTAATAATTAAAAATGATAAAGTTTAATATTTATAGTTACCAGACTTTCTGATTAATTGTAAATGATGTGATTTTATCTGTGATTTTTAGTATTGTATGGTATTGGAAATATCTGATGTTTAAGACTATTTTTTTAAGAGGATACTTTTAATATTAAACTCGAATTTTATTTTATTCACTTTCGATGGCGGCAATAAACAAACATTAATTGGTATTTTATATTCCATTTGTCTTTTTTTACCACTGGCAACTGCTGGGATATCTTAAATTCCATTTGTCGCCTGTGGCAACAACAGATCTTTTTATCCCATTTGTCACCACCTGGTAACATATGGTTTTTTTCCATTTGTCGCCAGTGGAAATCACCACTGGCAACAACTGAGGGTTTTTATCCCGTTTCTCACAACCTGGTAACATATGGGATTTCTTTTCCCATTTGTCGCCAGTAGAAATCACCACTGGCAACAACTGGGATTCTTTATTCCATTTGTCACCACCTGGTAATAACTAACTGGTAATGGGATTTTTTCCCCATTTATCGCCAGTAGATATCACCACTGGTAATAACTGGGATTTTTTATCCCATTTGTCACCACCTGGTAACATGGGATTTCTTCCCATTTGTCGCCAGTGGGAACAGAGCCAGTGGTGACAACTGGGAATAAGCTGAAGATTTTGTGACCATCCTCCAACACGCAAGCTTACCATGTTGTTTTCTTTTTTCTCTTGCCGTCAAAGCAAATAATAATAGGTAAATAAACGAAACGGTGATATCCCCGTTTGGAAACGAATTCACGACCTCCTAAATAGAAGACAAGTGTTTTGCGAGGCGAACCAATTAATAAATAAATATAAATAACACAATGTTAAGCTTGGTTGGTACTTATCAAAGGTTCTTGGGTTATCTATCATTAATCAGTCTCAAGTTCAATTTGTACGATTTAGGAAATATGTAAATGCAATAATTTTTTATGAATAATTGTTTTTGTTACTCATTACAGGATGGTCTTCAAGAAACCTTCTGACAATGTTACGACAGATTTCATGGTTAACACTGGATACTTCAATTACGTATATAATTACGAATATGGTACGCTTATTGAATCATAATAGTTATTGTACATTTTCGCAGTAAGTTAATTACATTTTGTAGAAATTCGAGTAAAGAAATGCTAGTGATTAAAGAATGCAATTTCTTTTAGGTTTCCATATAATAGCTCTTCCATACAACGACAGCATCACAACTATGTATGCTTTGGTACCGCATTCAAAGAGTCGCGCATATGTTAAGGATAATATGAAAGAGCTTAGCTTGCTACAACTCATGGAGAATTTGAACTACTCCAAAATAGATGACGTGATAAATACAATGAATAAGAGCAATTGTGTCATTAGTTTCCCAAAAATGGAATTAAAAAGTGAATTCAACTTAGTCGAATGTTTGCAAGACATGGGGGTGAAATCTATATTTTCGGCGACTGACGCCAATTTCGCCCTCATGATAAAAGATGACAAAACTGTAAATAAAACTGAGGATGAATTGATTACGAGAATAAACAGCAGAGATGAAGAGAGTTCAGGATTGAAGGAGCAGCTGAACAGGTTGCCAAATCCAGGGGTTTTCATCAACAAAGTGCTGCATAATGTAAAGATGGCCGTGAATGGTATGACGTTTTCAATTGTACATGTTTAACATATTTTGGTTTTGATACTTTAATCGCCATGTGTGTGTGTACTATTTATTATAAAGGCCCGTTTATATAAGTAAACATGCGTAAAGCTTGCGCGTGTTTGCTGGGAAAGCGGTACCCGGTAAGAACGGTTCGGCATAAAATGAGTATTTAAGGTAACTCTGATTCATCTCTCTTTACAGAATTTGGGACTGAGGCGGCCGCAGCGAGCAGTGCTTTCATATCGCGCACAGCTAATCTCTTTTACGCCGATTCGCCTTTCTACTTGTTCATTAGAAATGAAAGAACTAAGCTAGTTACTTTCAGTGCAGCCATATTTGACCCCACTGCATACAATGAGGGTCATTAAAAAGGCGTGCCTTATTCCAGCGTGACTCGCCATTTAGTCGGTTCCAGTCACAAAAAAACTAGATTTAGTCGGTCCTCCGTTCAAAATTTATAGGTGTTTCACTGTCCACACCGTAATAAGCTTATTCTAACGGCACCATTTCTCAATCCATCTCAAATCTCAACGACGACCCCTAGCTTAGATCTGATTATACTAAAAAAGTGTGATATAGTCGGTTTTTGTGGTAAAAACATTGACTTACAAATAAATGGACGTCGGGTCCGCGCTAAAAAGTGTCCGAACTTACAGGGCGTTAAAATCGTATACAGAGCGTCAATCACGCTTTAGTCTTCGTTTGTTCGACTTACAGCGCGCTTGTCAATGATGCCGTATTGTGTAGTAAAACCTTGTAAAAATTACTCAACTAAATTGAAAAAACCAGGGTGATATATCATATTTTCAGTAAGTACTACATTGTGTTATCATAGTATCATTTAAAAGTGTTATTTTATGCAGTAGTATATATAGTATTTAATTTATATTTAAATTAATCGTAAATACAAATGACAAAAGCAATCAAAATAATCAAATAGCTAACTGTCTCTTTCCGACTCATTGCTTGCGTAAAAGACTGAATGAGACCCATCACGTCAATTTCAATTGTTTGAAACACAAGCGTTTGAAATATTTAGAACAAAAATTTCATAGAGTCGCTTTGATGTTAATGTTATTATTAAAATGTTTTTTAATACATGTTAGTAATACTTTCAAATATTTTTGTACTCTTTCTACGGCTCGGGGTTACGAATTAGAAGACCGAAAATACATTTGCCCGAAATAACGTTTGCATGAATTTCCATAATCCCGAAAGTATTTTTTTAGGTTTTTCGGGAGAAATATGTGTATGGCCTACATTTATTTCTCTTGTGAGTTTGGGTGTAATTTGTGGTTGTCTATACGTGTGTCCATGGCACCCGCGACACAGGGTTTCCCTAATACGGGGCAATGTTGAGTGTGTGCGTTATTATTATTATTAATCAGTGCCTAAGTGTTTATTTTGGAAAGCGTTACTCTTGCGCAATCAATATCGCGCATTTTAATTTTGTAATTATCTCACAACAGCAAATACCCTACTACCGTCATAGCCGTACTTTTTCATGCACAAGAAACATTTGCAAGAACTATGAACAGTACGACTATGCCTGTTGACGGAATCAACCGTCATCAGTGATAATCCGTAATAATTATATTGAATCAATGTAAGCACTACGGCATATAGAAAAGTGGTGACGTTTTTGAGTGCAGTATAATTTCAGTACTATTCACGAACGGGTTAAGAAAATGGTAAGAAAAGAAAGGAAACGAGAGTTGATGCAAGCTTGGTAAAAGACCATAATATTAAAGTTTTGGTATGTGATTACATCAATGAGTGAACAAAAACACTGCATAATAATACAAATAGTAACAACCTTGATAGCCTAACGGTTTCCACTGTGGGCACTGGATGAGAAGTTCCCGGGATCGATACCGGTAGGATCAATTTAACAAGTTAACTTTTCTAAATGGTTCTGGTCTTGGTATTCTATTGTAAGACAATCACCTGATTTGAAACTAGGGAACTCTCTGTACATACTCCCCCAGAGCAACAGAATCCCAGAGCAGAACCAGTTTATAAAAGTTCATTTCCTAAACTGGTTCTACTGGGAATCGAACCTGGGACCAAGAACGATAAAATTCATTCCGGGGCATGACTCAGAACACCTAGGCCAAAACAACTTTCGAAAAGTTCACATTTAGTTTTATAGTTGATTGAGCTGATTTTTTACGGTTTTTTAAAAAATTCTCGAATAACTCGAGAAATCGGGTACGAGAATTCTGGGAACTCAAGAAAAAAATGTCAGACACCCTAGCTCGTAATAAATGGCATTGTATAAAATTCAACATTTACGTATATTTATTTATAAATAATAAAGGCTACTCCATTATACCTGTGTTCAAGTAGTTTTCACTAGAAGCTGCATATGCATTTTGATAAGTTTCCAGTAGAAGCTGAATATGGTGTTTTTTTGCGCCTTTCAATTGTTGCAAGCGAAATTAGGCAGTACTGCAATGACATTACAATTTAAATTCAACGTTTTAGCTTTTTCATATTCTTTTACATGTACGTTTAAATAGTTTGACTTGGGACTTTTTTCGTGGTTTTTGTATTAGACCCGTCGTCCATTTATTTGTAAGTCAATGGGTAAAAACTAGATTTACTAGTTACGCCGTTTTGAAGTTATTAAGTTGTTTTACAGTCCACACTGGAATAAGTTTATTTTGGCGGCACCATTTTTGAATCTCGAGAATCTCCAAGCTTAGATCTGATTGCACCCAGAAAAAAATCGGTTCTAATGGCGAAATTTAAGAATTAGTCGCTCCTTTGTTTACAAGTTACAACCAATTTCATGCATTTCTAGAAATCATTCTCAAGTCCTGACTTGAGCATTGACTAGAGTTCTAGAATACGACCCTCAGAGTCGTATTCCAGAACTCAAGCCCTTGCCATTAGGGTCGTATTTCCAGTGCTTGAAATCATACTGAAGTCTGCTCAAGTCAGGAGTGCAATGGAAACACAAGCACTGGAAATACGACCCTAATGGCAGGGACTTGAGTATGATTTCGAGTGCTTTAAACCATACTCAAATCCTAACTTGAGCATTAACTAGAGTTCTAGAAGTAAGTTCCCTAAGTCTCGGAGCTCATGTTCAAATTTAGCATAATATATAGCATTCTTTAACTTAGCATTCAGGTTTTAATAATTTTTTTAAAGTTTTCAATAGAAGCAATTTAGCAAAAAAATATAGTTACTTTTCCTTAATGGCATTAGGATTTATCGGCGAGTTATGTCCTTTTGTTTTTATTGCACCATTGGCTTCAATCTGTCCCGTTACATAACATATCAAAAGGACATCTCTCTAGCATTTTTTTATTGCACTAACGGCAAAAATAACTCCTCTGTGGCCGAACGCTTACCGTACCACGCAGAGGTCCCAGACTTGATTCCCGTGCTGGGAGAAATATTTGTATGGCCTACATTTATTTTTCTCGTGAGTCTGGGTGTAATTTGTGGTGTCTATGTGTGTGTCCATAGCACCCGCGACACAGGGTTTTCCTAGTGTGGGGCTAAGTTGAGTGAATGCGTATTATTATTTCTAGACATAATTTTAATTATCGGGGATTTTTATGAATCGAAAGGTACAAGTGCTCTGAACTCAAAAAATACATGCATATTTAACGAATAACTACGGATATATTTTTACACAAAGGAGCGCCTAATTCTAAAATTAACGACTTTCTGGGTGCAATCAGCTCCAAGCTAGGAGCTGTTGTTCTCGAGATTAACAAATGGTGCCGCCGGAATAAGCTTATTCCAGCGTGGACAGTAAAACACCTTAATAACTTCAAAACGACGTAACGACTAAATCTATTTTTTTTACCACTAGACTAGAACGGACTAAATCACAACTTTTTTAGTGTAAACAGATCTAAGCTAGGTGTTGTGGTTCTTGGGATTGAGAAATGGTGCCAGTACAATTATAAGTTTTGAATGGCGGATCGATTAAATTTAGTTTTTTGCGACTAGAACCGACTAAATGGCGACTTTTTATCTGACTAGTCAAATTTCAAAAACTAGACCAGATGGTCACGCTGGATTAAGGCACGCATTAAAAAGATATGATTTGTGTGAATGGTTACTAATGTGTTTTTATTAGGCGCCGCGTAACACAAAAAACTGGTGTCTTGTGTGTCGCCGGTTGCGGCAACCGGCGACTGTGTCGATATCATATTAATTGTATGAAAATAGAATATTCGCTTCTAGTTGCCGGTTGCTTGTATCCGACACAAGACTCACGTTTTAGCGCGGCGCCTGAGTGTGTTTGCATTCACTGTTTGTGATGTTAAATTTATAGACATATAGTTGCGATGTTTTTTTAGCTCACAGAGTTCATTTGGTTTTCATAGTACAGCAGTTTTTTAGTTTGAGAACAGATGGTTGGTACGGTTGTCTGGCACATAATTATTATTTTTGTACAATCAACAGCACATCAAACTACACATTTTTGTTCGAATACCGCCTCAAGAGCAATGGAACAATATACATCTATGTTTAGCTTGATATGCTGCCACGCATACCTGTACTTAATGTTTAAGCTATATTTAATAAAATTATCGTAAAATGATGACAAACATTTCATTATAATTAATGACAATGCTTGATACATTCAAACCAGAAAAGTGTTACGAGCTACAACATTGTACTTTATTTATATTTTTTACTTATACTATTATGCTAACTATTATTGTGTATATTAGTGATGAACATATCACCCCTAATTACATGTCAATTTTAATATTATGCAGTAATATATATTTTTTTATTATTAAATATAATATGATATTCATAATATGAAATAGATGATTCCATGATATTCTATTTATCAAATAGTACTTACTACAAGAAAAATAAACTTTAGCTATGATATGAATATAAACTTTATTATTCATCATAAATTATATTATAAAGTAAGATATAATGTAGGTATCATTTTTAATAATAGGAATGCAAAATAATTAAAATATTAGTCTTAAACCTACCTATACAAATGCTAGTTCATCTATTTTCCTTTATCTTTTCTATTCTATCCTTGAGTGTTTGCTTCCACTGGGCCTCAGATATGCTTTGAGCCCAATCTGGTATTGATGTCTGTGGTAATGCAAAATTGGCCATTGCAGACATTACCTGCAACAAAACAATGTCCATTTATAAGTGGTATGTATAGTCAAAAAAATATATTAGGCGATTGATAAGTCAATAATATATTAATTCACTACACAATACACTACTACACTTTACTAGATTGTTTATAAGTAATAGTACATACCTATTTATATCCTATTTTGTGTGCTTACTGTGATTTAAGCCTAGTTTCAAATATGCCACTAAAATAATGGCTAACTTACACTTAACAGGGTGTAAATTTGAGATGGGGCAGCAAGGCCAGCTACCTTAGTCATTGTAGTTACAGGAAAACGGTTCTAGAAGACTATCCATGAATTTTGAAGATATTTTGATTGGCATTCACAAATTTTGAAAAAATGGTACAGACAGCAAGATAAAAGACAATGTTTACAAAACTTTTTTTTTAGGTAAGGACGAATAGTCTCTATGGGACCAACTCATGAGGTAAGAGTACTCTAAATGTCAGAAATCGCAAAAAACTTTTTATCATACATTTTGTAGGGACCTATTTAGTAATCAGTTATTCTAGGTAGTGAAGGAAACGAACAATAAGAAAACTAACAAATTGACAACATATTATGTATTTCAAAATAAAAACAATAACAAAAAGCAAAATAACATAAGTCTATGATAGGACGTGCTCAAATTGATTGACGCCTTGGCGGATGCATTGATTCACTCTCTTGCGCAAAGAGCAAGTAGCGGCTGAAATTCTACTCAGATGGATTATATTGAAAATTGCTGCAAGTGCGTCTTTCAATTCTTGAACACTGTTGTATTTTTTTTATAAGTTTAATTTTTTACATAACCCCAAACAAAAAATCAAGGTGCGTCAGATCAGGACTGCGCAGTGGCCATTTGATAGGACCTTGTGTTCCAATTAATTTGTTTCCACACTTGAGAACATTTTCATTAAAAATTGTCATAAAAGTGACAATTCTCTATTAAGAAAACAAAATAAAGCTGTTCCAAATTTAATAAATAGTGATATGATTATAATTTGGTTTTACTGAAGTCTAATTTGTAGAGTAGTGGCCAATTTCGTTTCAAACAAAAACTTTACATTTAAAATGTGTGGTAAAAGATTTTTTGCGATTTCTGCCATTTCAAGTACTCTTACCTCAGTTGGTCCCATAGAGACTTGACCCTTACCAGAGACCGGATTGAATGGCATAAAAAAATGTTTTATAAAAATTGCCTTTTATCTTGTTGACTGTACCATTTCTTCAAAATCTGTGAAAGCCAATCAAAATATTTTCAAAATTCATGGATAGTCTTATTTATAGAACCGTTTTTCTGTAACTACAATGATTAAGGTAGCTGGCCTTGCTGCCCCATCTCAAATTTGCACACTGTATAACATGATTATTTATGTACAATTTATAAACAAAATGATAAAGATACCTTTATGTAAAATTATACCAATGCCTAAGTATGGACCTGAATATTAGGAAATTAATTCGTAGGCATTCTAAATAAAACAATTAATAATGATAAATAAACTGAAAAATTAAATGATATAGGTGTAATTCTTAAATTCTATAGTAATACCTGTTGTGCTCTTTCACTGTCCATCTGAATGGGGTCTATAGGCCTTGGGGAATTCCACACCTCTCTAGTTAAAACTCTTTCCATTGGTTCTATTGTTGGCATGTCACGGTTCTGAGGTTGACTATTGTCGTTGTCCTGTGAAACAATATTGTTTATTTTTCAAGTACCTATAATAAAGTAAACAGATGAGAGGAAAGCAACATAAAAAAGGGTTATAAAAACTTGAGTAATTACAACAGGTAGGTATGCTACAGCTGAATCCAAGGTAAATATCGACTGAAATCGACTAAGAAGTAACGTTGAGGCAGAACTAAATGACCTCGCTATGTAGTAGGCACTTTTAGTAACAGGAAATGAGCTGTATCGGTTACCTCTGAATCGTTATCACTAAGTTCATGATCAGAGTGAGTAGCTTCAGGCCCCTGAGGCAATGGCTGGTAATCAAACACTTCGTTTTGTTCTTCATCACTATCTTCAGCCTGAGCACCCTGCATCAGCAAGTCATGGCGTGGTGGTGAGTTTAACTCGTGAGGAGTATTGTCTGGAGGGTCGGGTCCGTCGCAAACCATGTTTTAATAAATTTCAGGAATACAAAAGTACCATCAAAACGAAAACGTTACGTTCCGTTCTAACTTATTACATTTCAACTTTCAGTGCGATGACTACCATACGAAACCTGAATTTGCGTAATTTGGATTGATCAAAGTAATCATTCCTTCCTTTTTTTCCGGACGGAAACAATGAAAGATTTAGTATTGCAAGCGTAAAAAATATACTTCAGCGATTCAAGTCTCCGGATTCGTAATTATTTAATATGAGTTAAACGGCCTATTCACTACTTGGATGTCGTGGAGTTGCTGCATGCGGGACGCATTGCAGAGTGGCTTGCACGCTGCGGATATATTTATAATTCTGCATTACGCGGCGAACGACGGCTTGGCGGACTGCAATGCAGGATAATGAACGTTTTATAATTTTTTTGTCTATCTAGAATTCTGGAATACGACCCTAAGGATCGTATTCTAGAACACTATGGAGTGCTCAAGTCAGAATTTGAGTATGGTTTAAAGCACTCGAAATCATACTCAAGTCCATTAAGATCGTATTTCCAGCGCTTGAAATCATACTCAGATCCTGACTTGAGCATTGAGTAGAGTTCTGGAATACGACCCAAAAGCTTCCTATTGCGTAGTTTTCCAATGCTCTATGATAAATCATAATATTACGTTTATAGTAAAGGAAAGTACTGGTGTAGTATTTGCTGTCATAATCTGAAGTGATCTTTATAAGATTCGTTCAGGACCTTTTGGAGGGAAAAGTGTCGTTTTTATTTTGACTTTCAATTATTTTGTGAAATCTAGTTTAAAGTGGAATAGGATAGTGCTATTGTGCCTTAATCGAAGATTAAAACGCGAAATTATACGAATCTCGAACTAAAATACCCGTATCGGCCCGTTCTAAGGAATCCCGAGTCAATCCAAGCACGCCGCCGCCGCCTCAAATTGCCTATCCTCTTTGTGGCTGCCATATTTACACAAACATAACTAAACGTCATGTTTAGGCTGATGGCTTTGCCAAAGCCTTAATAAATTTAAAAAAAAAATGAACTTTATATACTGTGGTCTTGTCATGTCAATGACGTCTGTTTTTATGAAATTTCTGAAAAAAATTGTAAAAATATTTTCTTTTGCGACGGTATTATTTGCATTAACAAATTCAAAATAGGGCTCAATCAAAATTTAGCTTACTGTGGCTTATTATTAACGATAATGGCTTGGCGAAGTCACGGAAAGAACAACGCAGATTTGATTAGAAACCTAAGGGGTAAGGCGCGATGTTATAGATAAAAGTTTATTTTTCTGTCACAAACTTTGCGATTACGCCTATTTGAAACGAAACATTCTATTTTTCACTATCACTATAAGCTGACTTAAAATACACATTCTATCATTATTTCCAGTTAACGGTATAATAAAATCGGACTCTGTCGCCTCCGCGATGAACGCCGTTGATCGCAGGCATTACTCTCCGCACTCACCGTACCATGACTCTCCACAGCCTATTGGATATTCAGCTACTATCAGTGCTCCACACATGGTTTGTATTGAAGCGAAAAACTGTAAGCTTCCCAACAATGTTCTTTTTACATACTATGTAATGTTAAACCAGAGAACAAACTGGCAATCAAATACATTCTAAAAATTTCCAACTGTTACGGCTTGAATATGTAAAACAATATCAATTCACCTTTTATGCAATGATTTGATTTAGATTTTTCTAAATTTTCAGCATGCTCATGCATTAGAATGTTTAAAGGACCAGCTAATACCTGGTGAAAAAGCACTAGATGTTGGATCTGGTTCAGGATATTTGACAGCATGCATGGCTTTCATGGTGGGGGAAGCAGGACGGGTGGTGGGGATAGAACACATACCTGAACTGGTAACAATGGCTACAAGGAACATTCAGAATGACAATCCACAACTGCTCATCTCTGAGAGGATAAAACTTATTGGTAAGGATCATATAGCAATACCAATCTTACAAAAATTGCTATTAAATGTGTACAAGAAACAAAATTTTTATGATACATTATATTACAATTTAATGATATATTACAATTTTACTGCCAGTAGCACATCAAGTGTAACAGCATGCAGCAGTTTTATTTTGTTATTTGAATCTTTAAAAAATGTTTAGTGTCAGTAGAGGTGTCCGTCAGGATGGCTGTACCAAACGAGATTTAGGGTCGTATTCTAGAACTGTACTCAATACTCAAGTCAGGACTTAAGTATGATTCAAAGCACTAGAAATCATACTCAAGTCCTTGCCATTAGGGTCGTATTTCCATTGCTTGAAATCATTCTCAAGTCTGCTCAAATCCTGACTTGAGCATTGAGTAGAGTTCTAGAATACGACCCATACAAATCAAGCTGTGCTCATTATTTACTACCCATTTTCTTCTATTTAGTACCTTTATTGACATATTTTGTACCCTAGCGCTAACGGAAATATTAAAGAAATGAAGTGGCCAGCCGTTCTGATGACAGATTGGCTGACCACTTTACATTTTTCATGGTTCAAGCAGTATAAAATTAAGTTTTTTTTATATAACTATTTACTACTTGATTTCCACCTAAAAATACTTTTTATTCACTATTTTAGGAAATTGGTATAAAAACTTATTTTTAAAAAATAAAACACCGTTGCAAAAGACAGTTTATCTGCTCCGTGTAATTGCTCATAATACTTATTTAGGCGCTTAGAATATGCCAAAAAAGAATGTCGTCTTTTGGTAATTAAAATGTCAAATATATCATTAGCTCTACTGCCTCCAGATTGTTTAAAATATTAGCAGTACTTCTATTTTTTTTCTTATTTTCATAGTAAATAACAACTAAACGATTATTAATTGATTGATTATAATTCTTTCGCATTCCTTAATACCTACAAATGGAATTTACATTTGTAATAGTGAATTCAATTAGTAATTAATATAATAATTGTTATAAAATATTGCTTGCAAAGATAATCCAGAAACCATTGTTGTCATATTACATACATGGAGAAGATAAACTGTCTCTTTAGAAGATAAATAGTGAAAAAAAAGTATGTTTAGATAGAAGTTAGGTAGTAAATAGGTATATAAAAAAAGTAAATTATATACTGCTAGAACCATGAAAAACTTAGTGTTCAGCCAACCTGACGTCAGAATGGCTGGCAACTTTATTTCTTCAATATTTCCTTTAGTGCTAAAGTATAAAATATGTCAATAAAGGTACTAAACTGTAAAAAGTGGGTAGTAAATAATGAGCAGTTAGATTTGTATATCATTTGGTCCAGCCATCCTAATGGACATTCATTAGAGCTCCTTGTGAAAGAGTTCGTCTAGGGAAGTGCTGCCACCTTATCTATTTCTGCCGCTAAGCTGTAATGTTAGCATTAGTATGTTCTGGTTTCGAAGGGTTAGGGTGCTGGTGAAATTACAGGCATATGGGACTTGTCAACTCAGAGTGACGGGCGCAGTGGCAGTGCGCCTAAGATCTTTGCGATTTAAAGAGCTGAGTGGGTCTGCAACTGTTATGGACAGGAGTGTAGCTTACCATCAGGCGCACAACTTGTTCGTCCTGTCACTTGATATTATACAATGTGTTGATGTGCATTCTCGCCATATTTACAGAGGTCATTTTATATCCGAAACTGAACCCAAATCACTAAAAAATAAATTTCGTGAATTCCTATTTTTTTTTTAATTGCGGTAAACAAATTTGATCCAAAGGTCATTAACTTGCACGGCTTTTGGAAACATTTTGAACAATGACCTTAAATGTGCAGAAACAAATGCATTTTAGATCAATTTGGTGGTAGGGTGCGGGTAACTACGGCGGGGGAGTGTCGTATAGAGTACGCGATTGGTAGATGAGTCGACCTTGCTTCCCGTACTGCGTCTACGTCACGCTGACATCCCACATACATTATATTCTAGTCTGTCAAAAAATGACACGTGGTTTGGTATATAAACAAGAGTTAGTAGTGTAAAAAGAACCACTACCAAGTTCACCAGAACCTGCATGGTAATCCAAGTACAAGTACAAGTGCGTGTCGATTCCTTATGGCATGATGTGAAACGTTTAGTTTACACGGAGGACATGAGTCGAAGTTTCTGCTTTCAAAGTTGTGGAGTCTAATGTTGAAACGAAACTCACGTGCGATGCTCTGCATAGTTGGCACCGGTACGGAGCCAGCCACCAGCTGTGGAGCTAGGTACTTCTAGCAATACTTTCATGTAACCTAAAGTTGGGAAGTACCAAATCTAAGTTACCAAAAACTTTTTTAGTCAACTTTTTTAATTAATGTAAATAAATAGGAAGTTATAACGGTACTAGCCCATAAACATAATTTAAAAAATAGGTAAATAAGAGATCAAGAAAGATAACGTATAGCTCGGTGAAGCGGGTGGCGGGGTCACTGCCCTGGCGTGGTGCATACGACTTGAGACAATTTTGCAAAACTTTACTAGATATAATTAGCCAGAATATTGAACAGAATATTTAAAAAAAAATATTTTTACATGATTTATCATCATTTCTATTATTCATGTCTATATTTAGGCGAGAATTCAAATAATTTGTGTGCCAAAAAACTAACAATTTACACTGAAACCGGTGCTGAACGTCATCACACTGTTCTCGAGGCGGCACCATATTCTGATCTGTTTGGTTTAGGAAAGTGTTTGAACAAATGATGCCTGTAAGTTCAGTTCTGTGAAATGTATTATGTTTATTTTATTTCATTTTTTATGTTTTTTGTTTCTGTGTTTGTAGCGATTTGGATTTTTGTCTATTACGTTATAAATGTTAAATAAATAAATAAATAACTTGTGGAAAGTGTTAATTTGCTGGGGACTGTAACATTAACTTCATAATTAAGTTAAATTTTATTATTTCAGTTGGTGATGGCCGGCAAGGATATCCTGAAGAAGCACCTTACAATGCAATTCATGTAGGAGCGGCAGCACCAGATTTGCCTCAGGCTGTGAGTAATGTTATCAACATGTTTTGTTAATTTTAATTGGAAATGATAATAAGCTAAGATGAAAATTGACAAAAACTCGCATTTTTTTATAGTACAAAAGAACAATGCCCATTTTGAACTCAAATATTGAATTTATGAACTGTTGAAAAGTTGATTATGAAATAGTTGTATTTTCAGTGATAAACCTTTAGAGATAAGTTGGAACAAAGTTGATTGTTTGTAATAAAATAAATAAATATCACAAAACATACATTTTGATGTTTTATGTAAGTCAATTATTTACACTTGCCACGATTTTTCCTATGTTGAGACAAATTATGAACGAAAATTACAATAGTTGTTTCGACATCACATATAAGATGGAAATTGATTTTATAACTCTCCGCTTATAAAGATGACAAAAATATATAAACTCAAAAGACCTGAACAGTATCTAATGACTTTGTAAGTGTCAATTTTAGTGCTTACTAACGTGAATCTGGTTCTAATTTGGACTTATCATAAATCTTAATTTATCTCAACATTGGAGTAATGTTGTGTATGCACGTGTAAACAAGTCTTAAAAATAGTTCTTACTATGGAAACTGATAATCTAGTAATAGTAATAGTAATTTATTTATTTGTACATAAAAATAAATACAGTTCAGTTACCGATAACAGGCACAGGAACATATTACATCTTATGGAATACGTATGTTTAAGACATGTACTTTTAAACTTTATCTAAACCGGTTACACTGGCTCCTACACTAGGCAAAGCCTGTCTCGTAGGTAACCAATTCTGGAAAGAATGTAAAGTCTGTTCCAATCCATTCCGAACAAACAGCAAACAAGAGTGTTTGATCACTCAATATATCGAACAAGCAACACATTCACGTATATTTCGAAGACATCGACTTGATATCTCACCATTGTCTCCAACAACATTCATCCGAACAGCATCGCAAAATTGTATGTGAAAAACGGTAGTCCAAAAGTGATGTTATTTTCATCTATACATCCATGACCTGTCTATAGTTGCTTATTAATAATAAATTAAGATTTCGGAAATCTTAAATATGGCTAGAAGACTCAATTTAACAAATCCTTTCATTCAATTAATTAATCGATATGTAGTTGGCATTACAAGTGGCCATCACTAGACCCTCTATGGTCAGTGATTTGTTTGTTTACACTTTGTTCAAATTGGATTGAAACGAAGTATACAATATATATTATATGCGAAAAGTTAGTAGAGACGAGAAAATTTCTAAAAACCAATGAATTACTTATGAAACAATGGGAAATTAAATAATGTTAATTACAAAGCACTGCGTGCGTGCGTGTGTGTGTGTGTGTGTGTGTGTGTGTGTGTGTGTGTGTGTGTGTGTGTATGCGTGCGTGCGTGCGCGCGCGTGTGTGTGTGTATGTGTGTGTTTATCTATTTGTCTACTTTTAGAATTTGTTCAACATTCTCATAACAAAGTGATTTGAGCCAATTTTTCACTTTTAAGTTTAGTTCTCTGATTGAGTAATTTTTCAAAGGAAATTCGATACTTATTTTATTGTAAATAAAAGGATGGAGAAATGAGCTAAAATTCTGGGCAAAAGCCGATTTCGTTAAGGGTACAGGGATTCTAAACCTACGTCTTTGCAGCATTGCGGCATATTCAGGAAATCTTAACACCTCCGCGTGCAACTTTGTAACAACGCGCAAAATAAAAATCCCTCGAACACTCAGATTATCCATGTCCTTGTAAACAAGTATGGTTGGGTACCTGATGCGTTCCTTAAGGATGACTTTCAATACCGCTCGTTGCGCCCTCTCCAGGGGGAGCATACAAGCCTTCGAAGCCCTACCCCATGCGGTTATACAGCACGCTATAACGGACTGACATATAGAAGTGTACACTGTTTTAAGCAACCATTTGTCCGCAGCGCAGCGTTGCGTAAATTCTTAAAAACATATATAAGTCTGCGAACACGATTAGCTGTAACCACGATATGCCGCCCAAAATCCAATTTCTCATCAAAGACAACACCAAGATATTTAATAGCTGTTGTTCGGTCAATACGTGCACATGTACATTTTGATGATGATTGTCCTTGACGGGTACAGGTATGAAGAACAATGTCGGTGGAACCTGTTGGAGCTGAGGCCTTGGTCTTGTGAAAGCAAATAAATTTTGTTTTGGAGATATTCAGAGTCAGCAAATTGTTTTGGAGCCATTTTGCCACAGCATCCAAACTCTGTTCTGCGGAACTAGCCACTTGAGCCCAAGAGTCTCCGTGGAAAAGTATAGCGGTATCGTCCGCGTAACATATAACCTCAGCATTGTGCAAATTACTGCTATTAGGAATGTCATTGATGTAAACAATGAATAGAGTTGGCCCCAAAATACTTCCCTGCGGGACTCCGAACTGCACTGGTTTACAGTTACTCATATTTTGGTCAACTTTTACACACTGCGATCGGTCTGTCAAATAACTTCTAAACCAGTCTAAAGCCTTTCCTCTTATTCCGACAAGTGCTAACTTCTTTGGGAGAATCGGAATGGAAACAGTATCGAACGCTTTGGCTAGGTCGAGGAATACGCTCAAGCAAGCCTTATTTGCATCTAAGTATATCGAGATCAGTTTGGTCATAAGAACAACTGCGTCCTCAGTAGATCTGTTTGCTCGAAAACCGTACTGTCGCTCTGAGAAAATGTTATTTTTTTCTAGGAAGCCGACCAACCGCTTGCTCACTAGTCTCCAGAATTTTAGAGAAGGCTCCCAGCAGAGAAATTGGTCTGTAGTTGCTGGGATCAGACCGGCCTTGTGTATTGGAGTAACTGCCGCTACCTTCCAAGCACCAGGGAAGATTCCTTCAGCCAAACTTAGATTGTATAAGTAAGTGAGAGGTACCGTGATGGATTTTTTAACTGTCTTTAGTAAACGGTTAGTTACTCCATCAAGACCGGGGGCACTATCCGAGTTTAAGTTATGTATCAAGGACTCGACTTCAGCTTCGTCGGTGGGTTCAAAGAATAGCGATTGTGAAGGTGATACATTTACTGTAATTCTTTGCGCCAGTTCGTCTTGAGTCTTATTTACTTCAGTAAGAATGTTGGTCGCTAGAGTCCTACCAACACTCGAAATATATTCATTGCAGTGGTCCAAGGAATCGGTCACAGAGCTGTTAATTTTGCTCAGTTCTAGTGCTTTTTGCGAATTTTTATTAGTATAGGTTATGTTTTTTATTGTCTTCCAAAGCTTTTTAGGATTACTCTTATTCTCCCGTAATTCCATTGACTCGTAATTGTGTTTAAGTTTCCGTAGCAGATCATTGTGAAAGTTTTTATACCGAGTATAGACGCGTTTTAGCGTTTCGTCGTAAGGATTACTACGACATTTCGCGTGGAGTTGATCTCTAACTTTTGAGCAACGAATAAGACCGGGCGTCATCCAGGGCTTGATTATGAACTTAGATCGACTTGCTGGAAGCTGGCTAGTATGCTTGTGCAGAATGTTCATAAACAACCGATCGAATGCTTCAAAAGCGTCATCCACTTTGTCTGAACGTATAACACTACTCCAATCCATTGTATTTAATTCCTCCGCTACTGATTTATAGTCAATTTTAGTATTATAACCATTGACTTACAATTATATGGACGTCGGGTCCGCGCTAAAAAGTGTCCGCACTTGTAAGGCGCTAAAATCGTATACAGAGCGCGACACTCCGCTTTAGTCTTCATTTGTTCTACGGACAGCGCGATACTGCGATGACATAACAATTTAAATTTCGAATAGGTTGACTTGGGACATTTTTTTCGTGGTTTTTGTATTAAACCCGTCGTCCATTTATTTGTAAGTCAATGATTATAACGCTTTTTTTGCACTGGTTTAGTTGTGGTTGATTTAATGCCTACAATAATCATATCGTGGCCTGTAACATCTGTCTTGTAGATTACCGATGCAGCTTGATGTTTAGAAGAAACGTGGACATGGTCCAGGCAAGAATCCCCGCGTGTGGATTTGGTTACTGTTGGTTTAAGGTCAAGTTCAGCAAGTAAGCACAGATAATCAGTAACAATTCTTAAATCCGCATCATTCTCAGACAAAGTATTCATATTTATGTCTCCTGCAACAATTTTACAAGGTGAATCCTTGATTGAGTCACAGGCGTATGCGATTTCAAAAATGTAGAGATATCGTTGAAAGAAGGAGAGCGATAGATGCCCAAAATACTAAAATGGTTCTTTATTGTTACTAGTAAGCAGTCAGCCTTCTCGAACGATGGCTCAGTAACCTCCGGCGACCATGATTTGTTCACATAAATGACTACTAAACCCGCTTTGTTAGTACATTTGTGTGTGCGATAAGGCTGATATCCATCGATTGGGGGTATTATAGAGCCATCGTATAGCCAACATTCCGTCAAAACTATTAGGTCTACGGGCATTTTTAGCCTCAGCAACGTTAATAAAAATTGATCGAAATTTCTTTGCAAGCTTCTTATGTTGAAGGTGAGAACTTTAACATTAAAGTAATTGTTAATGAATAGATCGCAAGATTCGGGTCGCACAGCAATATAACAAGATGAGTTATCGGAATCGAGATCCAACAACATTTCTGAACTAACCATTGTCATAAAGATTTTTAATGAAGTGAAATTTAGTGCAAGATTGACCCTGCCAATAACGTGGAGAGGATTTAAAGGAAATAACTAAGAATAAAGTAATGCTTGAGTTGAACGAGTGAATGTCTTGGATTGTGTTAAGGTGTGTAATGAGGGTAGTGTGCATTATTGTAGAAAATAAGTGTAACAATAATTTACAAACGAAGAGCCTATGAATGCTGACATTAATCTTAATCCGAGAGAGGCATGGAATCTCAGAACAGAGTACTAAAAAAACCGACCTCAAAAGTACGTGGAATTACGTCTATTTGCTAAGTTTTATTGAAATATCCTCTGGTTCGCCACTATACAGGACTTGACACTGGAGATAATAAAAATCGGTTCTCACTACTCAAAGTATATTGAGAGAAAAACGCCTTGAATTGGAGAAATAGCAAAATCAACCATTAAAATAATTGCTCCTAAATTAAAGTTAGGCGCTATTTATAAAAATGAATCTTCATGCGTGAACAGCCACCCTTAGAGGTGGATGATTTTCTTCAAAATGAAATGGGACCACTATGGAAGTACCCCTTCCCAACAAAAAAAAAAAAAAATCATGAAAATCGGTTCACAAATACCGGAGTTATCGCGTAACATACATCCAAAAAAACATACAGTCGAATTGAGAACCTCCTCCTTTTTTGAAGTCGGTTAAAAAGAAAAGCTGTTGAACAATAACAAATCAGTTCAGTTTTCGACGTATTAAAATAATTTAGCAAACAAAATTAGTTATCGTTGTCAATTTAATGTCAACAATAATAAGATTAAAAAATATACCAACGGATCTATATTCCTTGGACAAAGCACGTCAAACAAAACGTGGGTAGTTGTACGTGTCATTATGTTTTTTTTTTTTTCACATGGAAATAAAGTTGGGTGCACCACAGTACATAGTCAAGTTCGAATTCCAAAAACCTTTTCCACACTAGCGTGGCTAAAACGTTTTTGCGCGCAGATTTCTAATGAGAAAGAAAGCCTTTCCGATAGTGAGGCGAAAAATATATTTTGCACCGTTTTTATCTCATTCGCCTATCGTAGTAACAATTATTATTTTTCATGTGTCCGCGATTGTACCTACCACATAATAATATTTTAACTGCATAACACGAGGGTGGGTATTCACATAACCTCAAAAATATTGATTACAATCAACTTTCCATAGTTAAAAAAATGAATCCAATGTAATTAGAAAGTTCATGGAAATACGAATGAAGCCTGTATTTGGGATTGCGAGTCGTCTAATTTTATGTAGCTAGTCCATAAATATATGGAACTTGGGCTTTGTCCTTTGTGTGGTAGGTAACACACGGAATCTTTGTGTCTATCCGAAGTTTTAGCTATACTTTGGCGCACTAATACCTAGTATGTTACCTTGTTCTGTTCTTGACTGTTCTGTTTTCAAAATTAAACTTGGGGTTTCCAGTTGATTCAGCAGCTAAAACCAGGTGGACGACTGATTGTTCCTGTAGGACCAGAGGGAGGAGAGCAATATCTGACACAGGTGAGAGTGGTTTTTTTTTAAAATTCTGCACGGGATGCAACATTGCACTAAATATATGTAGTAGATTGAATATTTGAATTAATTGGCTAATACACGCTGTTAATCAACAAATAGATGCTTCTGGCTAATCTTGTATAAAAAAATCGATTTATCTACGTGCAATATTTATGGCTAAGCCAAAAAAGAGGGCCGTTTTACATTAATTAAGTTTTTCCAGGTTGACAAGGCATCGGATGGATCGACAACAGTAAAAAGGCTAATGAGTGTAATCTATGTTCCCCTCACGGATAAAAGTCACCAATACCGTGAGTGATATTTTCCCCCTCTTCTCATAT